CCCCCCCCGGGCCGTGGCTCTGCATCTGCGTGGGCTGTCAATGGAAGCTCGTGCTCATTTGGGAAGAAACAGATCTCGAAATGGTGACCACTGACCAGACAAGCTCCCAGAAAGCAATGATTCAGACACAGATAAGTGTGAACCACTTGCAGGAAACGAAAACACTAATGTACTAGTTTCCTTTCTCATGTCATGATCTCCTCGTCAATGAACTCATCGTTCAGTGACTTATGGTAGACAGATAGGATTAGAAACATCAAATGAAAACACTATACAAGTCAGTGGAAAGATGTCAAGGCGCATGCAATTGCTTCCCGGCATAAAACAACCACACACAGATCAACAAGCTCGGTTCCGAACCGAGCTTACACAAACAACAATCGAAAATAACAACAAAATCGGTAAACATCAGATTCATACAGGGCACAAATTTAAAACTATCAAACCTCACCACCAACACGAGAAACTGCTTCCAATCCCAAAGATTGAAACAAGCCATCAAAAACAATCTGCAAAAGGACATAAATCACGAGCCAAATTTAACACAAACTAAAAACGTTGGTCATATAATAAAGAGTTTCTTCGACGTACCTAGATTCCAGAAAAAAAAAGACCCTCAAACTGGTTGATGAAACAGTGTTGCAGTCAGCAGTTAGTAGTGACAGATAGAGCATGTCTATTCTTGCTAATTGTGGAATGTGTCACTGTCTGGACTGATTCATCTGGTAACATTCCTACCCTTGAGAATGCAACCGGCTGTAAAACTCTGTGAAGTCAAGCCGGAAAAAGAGGAACTTGAGATCGACACATTGGTGGACGGGTAACAGAGACAGGAACCCTTCAAGTGATGATGTGTACTCCTTTGCGATACCGTCCATGTCTTGGGCCATGCTTTGGAGAAATTCTCCAGCACGTTGTGTTATGGCCTTCCTACCTTCACTGATCCATGAACCAGACTCTTGTGTTTTATTCCTTTCCCGCGACGATTCTTTGGTTCTGCAGAATTCGAACGTTAATCAGAGTTTATACTTAACAGGAGAAAGAAACGTTTAACGTTTACCTTTTTAACTCGTAAAAGTTTGTACCTTATTTGCAACTCATGAATTCCCTCATACAACCGATCTGCATGGCTTCTGAACCGCAATATAAGCTCGAAGAGGACAAAAAGGGATTTGCGAAGGGTTTGTGACTGTTCACCCAGGAGAGATTTTTCCACAATGGAGTTGAGGTACTTCTCATGTGCTGCCAATAGATCATCGAGGTCTTTAGCATCTTCCATTTCTTTCGAAAAATCAGACCATGACACTTCCAATACCTCAAACATGATGTAGTACTGTAAGTTGGTGACAAAATGGTTCATTTCATTCCAGAGAACCTGGCATCGTCTCAGGGTTGAGAGAAGTTGAAATTTCACCGTTGCTTGGAGCTTAACAAACGAATTAGAGGTGATACAATTTGGTTTCATAGTCTTCCAAATACCAATAAGTGCATGCTCCACCCTTTTCAACTTCCAGAGAAAATTGAAAATTCTCAAGTACCTAGACATAACAGATTCGGTGAACACGGTATCTAGAGGAACCCTTGCATCATATTCCAATGAGAATACACTCCAGCCCCTATCTCCAGTGCCATGAGGCATCATCTTCACTCTCAATCTGTCTAGAATGTCACGATCATCATATTGGGCATTAGATGCCCGAATTGCAGCTTCTAGAAACCCGGCTAACTCAAATGAACTGATACTGTTAGCTGGTTCAGAAAGTTTAGGCCCCACAATATCCATTAAATACTGCACAAAATCGCCTTGACCAAGGAGTAAATACCGCTTGATCGCAAGACAATGTTCCTTAAATCTATATCTCTTGTAAAGTACATCCAACAGGTGCTTGTCGATTCTTTTTGCTGCCTCCGTGACAAGATGTTCAAGTGCATCTGTCTCACCATACCCTAGACCTCCTCGATCAGTTGTAGTCCCTGAGGCAACCGCTGCATCTGATGCTGCAGTAGCCCACCCGTGATCATCACAGCAAACCCGAAGAAAATTTATGGATTTCCCAGTTCTTAGAATTCTCTGAGCTAGACTCGGTGAAATAAAGGATGGCAGCATTCCTGGGTGGAGCTTATAACCTTCCCTCCAAAGCGACTCAACCTTAACTGGCTGACTTACAATAAAGAATTCTCCGAAAATATCTTCCAGTTCCCCTTCCAAGACCCAACTTCTCACCATTTCAAGCAAAGGAGAACATACGCATCGAAGCAAATTCATCATGAAATCACGAACAAGTGGATTGCCGTGTTGGGCATGCAAATGAATGGCACCGGCCATTGCCCCGCCTCTCAAAGCCTTACATTTGTCGACCAAAATAGCCATCAGTCTCATTTTCACCATTGGCTCTGCAAACCAAACCGACAGCCTCCTCAAAGAAAGGTAATTGCTTGACCTAGCCGATTCAGAAACCAGAGGAATAGGATTCATGGCCTGTGCTTGGAGCACAGCCAATAGCTTGTAATACTCTGATAGCTCATCTTGCAATGCAGCACAAAATGCTTGTCCAACGGTTCCTACATCTTCGGCTGGAAACCGATCCATACTCTCGGAAATGAACGTTTTCACCTTCTAAACCAGCCAGCCGAGCTCGCAAATCTTACGCACCATAACCCTAGTGGCTCGAGGAACCGTAACCGAGTCCAACACTGCGAACCCATCTAACTCGTTGTTGAATTTCACGTACTTCCCATCAATTCCTTGACAAGCATACAAAACATCCCTCACTATGATCTCTTCTGTCACCTCATTCTCTTCCTTAACCAAATTAGCATACTCCCTAAATGCAATGTCCCGCAGATTCTCAGGGTCTTTACTAACCAACAAAACCCCATTACTCCAATCCTTCTCCTTACCCGATTCGGCATCGCCAATGCCCAAATTTGGGAGCAAGACCGAGGAATCAAGCCCGAGTTTCGCCGATTTCCGATCATCCGACACGATTTTGAGCAAGTAAATCACGGCCCACTTGTTGTCGACACTACCGGGACCGGTCTTCGACGCGAACTTGGTGTAGAGATCCGCGAAAGCGAGGGCGTCGGAGGACTTACCATGGGTGGCGAGACGGCGTTTGAGGGACTCGGCAATGGCGGTGGCGTCGGGAGCGACGGAGGGAGTGAGCCGGCTCGAGAGGATACGAAACGCGTAGCGAAGGGTTTTGAGGAAAGCGGAGGAATTGGGATCGGGACCAGGGGTTTGAGGGTTTTGAGAGAGGAGACGGAGAACAAGCTCCTTCACTAGATCTGTAACCTTCTGCTGATCATCTTCCTCCATCTTTGTTTCCTCGCTTGTCCTCTGCGTTTTCTCCTTCGAGAAAGAGTAGAGATGACGAGGGCTCGTTTTTGGACTCCGACACTGCAATTTTCCTGGGCGGGCGAAAATGAAATTCATGAAAGTACGAAAATGGCAATTTATTCTTATTCTTATTTGTTTTTAATAACAATTAAATTATTTCCCAATAAATTGGGAGTGATGAAAATGAAATTACGACCTTTTTTTTTATTATATATCCTATACATCAAGAATTGTTAAACGGAATTATAATAAAATGAAATTGCGAGCTTAACATAGTTGTGCTATTTCTCAAAATGGGAATCAAATATTGATGTTTTTGATATAATTCCATTTCCCTAAAAATCCAATTGATACAGAAAGCGGAGCATATTCAAGTTATTTTTAGTTAACATTATTTAAATTTAAATTATTGATAAGTTTAGGCATCTTTTAGATTTCTTAGTTCTATATTTGTCTTGGGGTTGTATTTTGACGGATCAAAAGTATGGGTGAAAATATGGTATTTTTCCTGAAATAGTTTATTAATTTGTTAAAGTGCCCCAAAACTTCTCTATTTTCGTTTATTGCCCCATCCTCGAGGTATAGCCATTAGCCAGTAGGTTTTGGCTATAAAAACACCTCATGGTCGTCGAGAAGACTTCTGCCAGATCAAATCGTCGAGAGGAGAGAGAATTTTCTCGAGAAAGTGAGAAAATAGTCCTTCGATTTGTGTTTTTGCTTCCGAAGCAACCCGTGCAATGGCTGCAGCCCCCCCGCTCTTCGCTTCCTTCAAATACGCCGATAGCCTCACCGTCGTTGGCATCTCCTTCTGCACTGCCGTTGTGTGCGAAGCAATCTCATGGGTTTTAATCTATCGCACGAGCTCATACAAATCCCTGAAATCCTCCATTGACAAGGCCGCGAAGAAGCTCGAGACCATGAAGACGGAGAATCCATCCACCAAGCTCACGATCAAGAAGTCGAAGACGAAGAAGATCGATCGCGTCGAGACCAGCCTGAAGGAATCGAGCCGCGATCTCTCCCTCTTCAAGATCAAATCCGGCGCCGTCGTAGCTCTGGTTCTCTTCGTTGTTTTTGGTTTGTTGAACTCGCTCTTCGAGGGGAAAGTCGTCGCGAAGCTCCCGTTCCATCCGATCACCATCGTGAGGAAGATGAGCCACAGGGGACTGAAGGGCGACGATGCAACGGATTGCTCCATGGCGTTTCTTTATCTTCTGTGTTCAATCAGCATCAGGACAAATCTGCAGAAGTTTCTAGGGTTTTCTCCGCCGAGGGGATCTGCTCCAGGTGGTGGATTGTTCCCCATGCCGGATCCGAAGACGAATTGATCAATCTGATCTCTGAGGTATAGTGTTATCGGGCTTTTGGGTATTTTTGAAAATTTCAAGGAACTGGGTAGCTGATTCAATCAAGCTCCGATGGGGTTACTGGTAAACTTCTCTCAGATAACCACGGATGATTTCTTTGGTAGTTGAAGTGCTGTTTCATAATGAAATCTGAATGAGGAACACTTTCAAATGTTGATTTTTGTTTTTTTTTTTTGTGGAATTGAAATATCAAATCTCTTCATTTGTGGGTTTTGATATCTGGTTTAGATTCCGGATCAATAAGGCATTCCTTTAAACAGCTTTTGCACAATTGATTACTTAGATGATTTACAATGTCTACGGGCAGAAGAATTCTCTAGTTCCAGGGACTAGAAACTGAATCCGGTGTACAGGATCGAGTAGTTTGAACAGTTTTCGAGGCATTCATATTCATATTCTTGCTTGGATTTCCTATGCATAATATCATAATGATCTTTCACAAAGTAGGTATCTTTTAGAAATTGGGACAAAGGGTATGTGAAAGAAACATAACGTAAGGGAGGTGAAGGGAAAGGGATGCACAATGTGTTTTCAAGTAGGTACCTTCCTATGCTCTTGTCCAATTGGAGCCTAGAAAACATGTGGCTTTTCATGGGAAGAGGAGTTCAGTTAGGTTCAGAATGGAATAGATGTTGTTGGATAATTGTTGCTGTTTAGTAGTCCGAGTTTTCGTGGAAAGATTTTTGGAAATAGATGCCATGAAAACCTTCTTGCAATATCTGTTCTTCATAAGGTGTTGTTGTGCTGATTGGATGTGAATTCAAGCTTGTAAAGATGGTTCTTTCTGTAACAGTTTGTGCAGTTTTACTTCAAAAGACACTACGTGATTTGGATTTATATCTCTCTTCATGGTGGTCTGATTTCAGTGTTGAAGCTGGTACTTGACAACATACGCGTACTTCTGAAGTCATCAGGTTACGATTGTGTTCTTTATATTGAACTTCTAATCATCACAATACTTAAAAGTCTTCTGATTGCTTTTTATGGACATATAGATCATCCAACATAAGATACTTTAATGTAAGAAATCAATGAAAAGGATAATATGGCGACTTCAAAATCCTTTTTTCAAAGCTCTAGCAAAGATGAATTTCAAATTAAACGGTCGAGAATGGACAAATAGTTGTGCTCCTCTCTCGTTACACTTCCTTTACAAGTTATAAACAGTGAGAAAGATCCATCTGAAGAATTAAGAAGAGAGTTACAAACAAATGCACACAACTTTGATTCACACGGATCAACAACCAACACAGAATCTCACCCATTGTTCCCTAATTCTCGAAGAGCCGAGAGGTACACCACACTCTCCGGTCAGTTCTTAAATCCTGAAATGATCAATCTCGTCCCGTTTCAGCCGCCGTCGAGTCAGAGATCTCTGAGCCATCTTCATGGTGAGATCTCTTCAACTTGGCCACAAGAACCCACATGTTAGCAAGTTCATTCTCTAGATAAGCCTCTCTCTGTTTCGACTCTTCTATCCTCCTTTGAAGCTCGGCTTCCTTCTGATCTTTCTCCACGAGGGCTGCTTCATACGAATGCTCACGTTCCTTGCCCATCGCGAGTTCTCTCTTCAGCTCCATGATAGTTGTGTTGTCTTGTTCATGCCTCTTTGCTAAACCCTCTCTCCGACCGTTCCTTAGGGTTCCTGCCCTATTTCGCGGTGTGGGAGAGTTCTTCTGTGCCGCCAGCTCAGCTGCTAGTCTCTCGTTTTGATTCATTAGCTTTGCAACTTCTTCAGACAATGCCTTAAGCTCAACAGCAGCTGCTGACGCAAGCCCTTTAGCGTATGAACTCTCTTCAGCAAGTTTCTTGTTTCTGAGTTGTAGTTGTTCCTCTGATTCAATTAGTTCTGCAACTTTCTGCTTGAGCTCCTCAATCTCAAATGCCTGCAATGTCACAGAGTAACAAGAAAATGTAAGATGTGACTCATACAAGAAGATTTGCCAAAAGGCATTTCAGAAACAAATAAGATGTAGCGTGAGCTCCTCATATTAGACCTGTGCTTGTAAGATTCTTTTGTCATTTCTTTCCTCCGAGCTCGGGGTTTTGCTCTCGGATCTGTGATCATTGGAGACACTTTTTGAGCTGGTATTTCTCAGTTCTAGGGCTCCAGAGAGCTGCTGCTTTAGGTTTGCAACTTCTTCTCGCAATGCTTCACATTCACCCACCTGAAGATCATTGTTCTCGAGTTAAAAAAAAATTCTCCACACGAAAACTACTAGCCTTGGAGGTTCACCAAAACGTGGGAGTGGGGGAGAGAGACAATGAATATTCTCCAGACCTTTTGATCGAGTTGTTCCTGAATAATGTGATTATCGGCAGTTTTGACCTGTAAACAAGATGGAGGATGAGAAAAATAGTAAAGCATCAAGCATCCTTACTAACTACAAGATGAAGTCCATAAAATAACTCGGGAAGGAATAAGCAGCTGTAGTCGAAATATCAGCTATGCCCATTAAAAATAATGGAGAGCTTCCTTAACAGAGTAAGGCCCTTTCCTTTGATCACTAGGAAACAATGGAGAGTCACTTCACACAGAGAAGTTATCTTTCTACTCTTTCATATCGAAGCTAAAGCAGAGAGCGTCAGAAGGGTAAGGAACAGAGCCCTCTTAGGTGTTGTAGAGATACGTAACAACAACAACAACAACAGCAAAAATTACTTGAGCTGAGACAGTTTGATCACCTCAAGTTCAAAAGATTTCTCATTTAATTGATCCCTCAATTCAGCTACAGCCTGCAAGTAACAGATAGATGAATTGGGAGACATGCAGTTCATCAATGAATATCAGAGTAAGAATTACTAGGTCACTACATGATATTAATACCTGCACAATCTCGGACTTATCCAATGCGTTATGCGATGCCATAACAAAATCTGCAATTTGTTTCTCCAACGTAGCGATCTGGTCATTCTTTGACTTGATCTCATCATAAAGCTTGCTAATCTCAGCCTTAAATAAATCCAAAGAGAATCCAGAGGTAAGTATTTGCCAGTTCTAGAGAACAATATGACAGATATCATAATAGAGTCAAAAAGTACTTTAAGATCTTCATTCTGAGGGATTTTTGCTGCCTCTTCTGACAACCGTTTTAAAGAACTTGATTGTAGCGCCACCTCCCCAGATAAAATCTTTCGCTGTTCCCGCAGTAGTTCAATCTGGTCGGTTATTTTTATGCTAATCTGAATCAAGTGGACAAAATCTTCATAAATAGAGAATGACTTATCACTTATCCTAAATAAACCACTAGAAATCTATTTGGAAGAAATCTAAACGCGTATCTCATATAGTTGAGGCTTGGGATTATTACTTGGTTACAAAATGTTTTTTTAAAAAAACTCTTATGTACCTACCTCCGGTGTATCTGTTTCATGGAAACTGTCTTCAGGAACTTCTCTATCTTGCATGGCCTCTGAGAATTGATCTGCCAATGGAGAGCTTTCTGAAAGTCTGGATTCCGTATGCAGATTACTGCCTCCCCCTTGAGGGGTCGAAGGTGTGCTATTGGACTTAACTGCACTCGACTTGTCACTGGCGCTTGATGACCCTAAATTGTTCTCTTTCTTCTGATAGGAAAATGTAAGTTTCAATCAGATATATTTGACAGATGAGACACCAAAAGAACACAGAAAGAAATGCCTCTTGAAGGACTCCAGGCTTCCATGAGACAATTGTTTGAAGAATGTAAGTGCCAAAAATCCGAAGTGTGTGATCCGTTTGCGTTCAGGATAAACGATTGCTAGGCGCAGTTCCAGGGTTGGAGGATACACTCCAATATGAGCAGAACAACTTGATTAGAATTATCAAAGTCGTATAAAATTTTAGTCATATGTATACCTTAAGCTTCAACCAATTCAGTAACCCGTGCTTCCGGGTCTTCTTTTCTTCTCTTGATGCACCATCTCTTATCTCAGGATTCCCCTCTAGTGAAACATATAAATCAAGGTTCTCGTCATCCATCATGTCCCGCCTCTTATATGGTAGGTAAGCCAGCTGCATATGCATTAACAACTATAATCAGCCAACAAAAAGCTACCTAAGACACACCCCTGCAGCAAGTAAAGTCTTAACGGCATATATGTGATTGGAGTAAATTTTTTCAGCCATCCAGGAAAAGGCACAGGGAGAGAATGTGTAGAGAGTTATTCATAGATCTTATACCTCCTCTTCTCCAAATGAGTGTCTCCGACGAAGATCAGCGCGATGGGATAATCGGGATGATTGTGGCGTTTTAGTGGACACCAGAATTAACTTCGTCAACCGTTGAATTCTACTCAAGAGAGCTTCTTTAGCTTCTTCCTCTTCTTCAAGTCTAGATTGCAGCTTGACTTGACCATCTTCTAGCTTTTATTATAAAAAAACATAACAACACAGACAAGGTAGTTTATTGCAGAGATCTCTCGAAAGCAAAACTATAAACTAAAGGGCAGTGCCAGGAATGCTGCTGTGCATTCCTCATCGAACACTAATCTAACCGATAACAAAGGATGGAATATAACAGCGATAATATTGCAAGATTGTTGCATTTCATGCCCAAAATGCCTCCTTTATCAAATAAGACAATCACTGACCATATGCACTATCAGATAATTTTACATAAACAAATAATGAAATTAGCTCTAAAACTACAGCAGCAAAGCACAAGAAAACATAAATAGACTTCTTCCTCGTACAACAAAGAAAGAGATCTGGTTGTTTTACACCTGATTCTCCCCCGAAAGATACAAATTCGTTACCTGTACTGCCTACTTTCTGCTGAGATTTCGAGGGAAAAAAACTTGCTATGAGCTCATTGAATTGGCAGCCTCAGTGGTTCATATCAAAAGATGGAATGATATGTGGTTATGCTATGCATGCATGTGCATAGCATGTTAAGAAGAAAAGATCCAGTAGTATTAAAGTGAAAAGGACATGCACGCTGTTGTCAAATCAGCTGATATCTAAAGTCTTTAAAATCGTCTTTAATTTTGAAGCACTATATGATAAACCCATAGGGGCCAATTTACTTGAGAAACTGGTTCAAAACAAATTAATTTTAGCAGCCACACAAAAGGTCCAAAATGATCTTTCAAGCATACCTTCTGCTTCAGGAGAACAATATCATCTTCATTGATATCCTTTATTTGAGGAACTTGTACAATTCCCCTTTTAAGCTGTTCCAACTCCTCCTTCAGCTTGTGTATCTCATTTTGGTACTTCTTGATTAATGACTTCTCGTCAATTATCTACAGTCACGAAGAGTTGTAAATTTAGCAAGAACATTCAGTGGATAAATACATATATAACTGATAGAATATATAGCTAAGAGAAAACCTTGTTCTGTGCAGCTTGAATCTCAATATGCTTAGCGCGATGGGCAAATTTCAATGTGTTGTGTGTTTCTTCAGAACTGCTTGATGCTGGTGTAACTGTACAAATGAGCTACCATTTCCAGGGGAATGGCAAATCAGTAAAATACATTTTTATTAAGACATGTCACAAATGGGTAATGTTTTCAGGAAACATTTTTTCCCTGCATATGACCACGCCTTGGATATGATATTTACAGTAGCAAGAGGATGAAGCAGAGCCAGTCTAACAAGACTTACAGATACACGGCCATGACCACTCAATGAGGACTGAAGGAGCCGGGTTAGTTTGGAGTCTCTGAACGGTATGTGACTGGCCCTTCCATCTGTAAGCTTTGATATAACCTAGAGCATCACATTCACATATCTCCTTTAAAATGATGATTTGTGCCAAATGTTGCTTGAAGTCAACCAAAAACAAAGAAACCGATAACTCACTGTCCCCAGAGTCAGCAAACTTTTATTTATATATGATCCTTCCTTGCGTCTTAACCCACTGGTTCCAGCCTTTGAGCTCTCAGAGCCGGCAAGGTCAATGAGATTCTGCAGATAATAGCAAAATTATGGGCAGCTAATATCGTTCACCTATTAATCGATGGATAAAAAGGTGACTATAGCCTATAGCATACATAATATCATAGAACAAAAGCCGAGCTACATACCAGCTGCGATAAATGAACAGCCTCGCCTTCATTATTTTCACCCAAGGGGCTACTCTCTATCGTCTGCAATCGAATCAGTGTATCACTTTCAAGAACAGAATAACTAGATCTTTAGCATTTGAGCATGCAAAGAAGTGATGAATATCACCAAAATCTCAAAAACTAGATTTGTAACTATGGACAAAAAGGAATTCCTAACAAGAAGGAAACATATGAAAAGTGAAAAATAGTACAGAGATTTTGTTGGAGGCAGCAAGTGGGAATGTAAGGTGTTGTAATTCTGATGGAAGACAATGCTTCCATCACAAATTTTAAAGTTGGCAAATAACATCTCGTAATCTGTACATAACATCTTCCTTAGTTTAAGAATTCGTTTTTCTATACATTATCAAATAAATGGTCAGGAATACGGGAACAGTATATGAAAATGTGTATTTTCAATCTGTTTATACCATAAGTACCACCGTGCGAAGAAAAAACAATGATATTACAAGAGCACAAAGAAATAAGCTTATCCGCTGGAACGAAAGAGGATTAAAGCGTACCAATGTAAATATTGTATGGCTTCGACTGCTGAGCAAATTAAAATTTGTGGACCCAACATGTCGATGCTCTGTTATCAGTACCAAGACTATTAAAAAGACTTGGATAAAAACAAAAGAAAAATGGAATCTGCTAGAATCACAATTAGACAGACAACAAAGAGAACATCAGTATTAAGAATTGCTCTACGTGTGATATAAAGTCATTTCTAACAAAGAAAATTTATAATGACAGATAGTCGCTCACAGTCATCCTGGTCTAACAGACACTTCATTCTTCAAATAAAAGGAGATGTTAAAGCACGAGCTCCACATACCTTCTCCAGCTGCAATCAGAGAAAGCGCATGAGCAGGGGATAAGACAACTTCTTCTTTGACCCCTTCAATATAGGTTCCCTAGGATCACCGACATAGATAGGTCGCAAACTTAGGGATAGAATGTGAATTTCAATATAAAATTCTATATTCAACTACTTGAACAGGAAGTTCAACCTTCAAAAAGTGAAACGAATAGGCCAGAAAATAACGTTGTATTAGTAGAATTATCGAAGACCCAAGTTTATCCCCAAGAAAAGAAAAAAAGAACCAGTAGTCTCTCAATCATCTAAGAGTGCTCCTCATCGTCACATATATAATGTATAAGGTCTCAGGGTTCGAAGTTAAGCATTATAATCACAACGAATATTATATTGAGACAGCATTACCAGCAACATGCACATTGTCGACATAAAAGTGAAATGAACTATGTGATACTGAAGGAAGTACCTGCTCATCTTCTCTGATCCTCAAATTTTGTCCTGCTGGGTTCAATAAATCATTGACAACCTGAAATAAAATGAAACTTAAGGGTAATACTATTAACTAAAAATTATAGACTAGTTTTATAATTCACCATTACTAATGCAACCAAAGGTACAAAATGGAACAGAGAAAACAAAACTAAGTAAAGAATCTCACCTCATTATATATTTCCAAGTAGGAAACCCGTAGGAGAAATTCTCTGTTTGGTGTCTGTGTGGAAATGGAACATGTGAGATTGCTACTATTTAGGCCAAGGAATTCAACAAAGCTATGAAGTACCTCTTGAATAATGCTGAAAGCATCTTTCACTGCCAGTGGTATGATACCAGGAGATCTCTGGTCACCCTGACATTTGAACAAAAAAATTCATAGTCTTGTCATGAGATAACACATGAAATCACGCTAAACGCGTTCCTACATGATGTCTCTGAATCAAAAGCAAACAATCTTTCAGCCCTAATGTTCTGATATATCACAGCAAGAGCAAGGGAATGCAATTTAATGATAGTATAGGAGAACAGTTCTCCTTTTAGATTTGCAAAGTGTGTGATAAAATAAATTATTTCTATATATAATGCAGTTGGGTGTTGGCTAGACAAGGACGAAATGCAATATAAGTACCAACACGATGCCCTTAGCAAAGACAAGTAACTGAATATGAAACACAAAGAAAACTTTCAGGATCTAAACTCCTCGTTGTACATAAAACCAAATAAAGAGTTTCACATGATTAAGTTTATTGGCTTGAACTTTAATGATTGATGGCCTGCTTGCAGTTCAGTGGTTTGATCAGAAACAAAGAGCATAAAATATGGTTCTTTGACCGAGCAACAAGCACTTGAATAACAGACTGCACGATATATACAAAGAAGCACTACATTCTTTACTGAAGACAGGCTGGGATATAGTAAGCATCCATTCTAATGAATCTTACATGCATTGTGTGAGTCTTCCCACTGCTGGTTACTCCATATGCAAAGATGGTGCCTGCGGGTGGAACAAAACCCAAAGTTACTAAAACGGTAAAAGCATCCAACTCGAAATTGTTCTGAAACATTCAGCAGATGCAGTCTGCTAAAAGTCAAAGGTATCAAGTTATTTTGAAAAATTCAGCAGATAAAATCTACTAAGTCAAAGGCATCACAATATTAGTGATAAATGAGCACATTGTTCAATATCTGTTCAACTGGGGTGACATTCGTTCATAGAAGATCAAATGATCCATCCATATATATTATCCTCTATTATGCATTAAGCCTTTTGACAGGGAATTAAGAAAAGAATGCTCCTACCGTAAAAGTAATCAAATCAGAAAATGAATATCAGAAATGAGCTATAATGTAACTAGATTTTCAAACTGAAAAAGAGTTTATTCGGTACCAGTAATCCCCTCCATAGCACCACTAATGACATGCTGAGCAGCAACATCATAAACTTGACGTGTTGTGGTTGTCGGGCCAAAAACACGGTCTGCAGGAAGAAACCGTTAAAGACAAACAAACTGATTCAAGATAAAAATAAATAAAGAGAATGTCCGCAGACTCAAACAGAAAATATACAGGACATCCAATTAAATTACAGCCTTCATTTACACTGTCATAAAAGCAAGAATCTCAAATAGATACAAAAAAGAAAAAAGAAAAGAAAACAAAAGACTATTCTTTTAAACATGTTTGAGTGGCACCAATGCTCCGTATGCAGTATTTATGATGCTTGTATAAACCCATAAAGCAAATCAAGCTGTTAAGACTAACCATAGGCATAAGCTATAGCTGGATTATACTCATTCCGCACAATTGTTTCCCCATCAGCGTACCATGCTATCTCCTCCCCTTGGCGAATTTCCCTTGGACTATACCGACATAAGCCAATGTCAAATTCACAGAACCCTCAACGACCAAATGTTGGTCAAACTCAAACCTATATACAACCAAATCACCATCACCTGAGTGGGCGAAAGCGAACTGTAACTGTGACATTTTCTTTGGACTGATCAATATCTGGTGGTAAGTTTTCCGTATAGAAGAACTTAGGCTTGCTTCGAGCAGATGAAGAAGCAGGGGAGCTGTGTCCATCAATAGATGACTCTGGATAAAGCTTGGAAGATGAAGTTGTTGAAGTTGCAGGCGAATCAGTAGCCCTCAACTTGCTAGACCCTGCTTTTCTTGTCTTTGATCCTTGTTTAGATGCCATTTCAGCCCAAACTCAAACCTTCTGGGACTGAAGAAACAAGAACAAGATATATTAATATTATCAAAACTAATCACATTCTCCTCAAAAATGATATATCTGCAGTCTTAAGTCATTGTTAAGCACATTCAACAGTCTGATTTCCTCTCGAACTGAATGCCTTACTCAAATTCAAACTCGAATCCTGAGAATCATCCACTGTTTTGCTGCCGAGACATACGAAAATCCTCAAACGAGGTACCGAAGAGACTCAAAATTGAACAATTCCGTTTTCTAAGCAAATGGAAGTCCATACACCTCAAAGAATGCGTAGCTGAGAAATGTATGAAATGGCACTATCTGGGAAACCCTAATTGCCACTTAGTAACCCTTAAACCACCTTGAATAACTGATATAAAAAAAACATGGTTTGGCTCCAATTTTCCGCAACTTCCTAGGCAACGAAACAGCAATTCAGAAAATTTCAAAATAAGAGACGAAAACAGGAAAAGGGTAGGTGGGTACCTGGAGCGAATCAAAGAACATAACATCAAAAAGGCCGAATCACATGCAAAAGGGAAGATACCGGAGAAGCATAAGAAACCCAGAGAGAGAGAGAGAGAGAGAGAGATGGAGAGACGGAGAGAGAGATCTATGAGAGAGTGATTACGTAGAAGAAGAGGCAGAGAAAAGAAGGATCAATGTCAGTAATCAGTAGGAGATAGTTATCGTGATTGCAATTTCGAGGGTTTATAATCTCCGCTTCGCTTGTCTTGGAAGCGATGCCCTTTTTTCATCCAAAAAGCTAATTGCATTTCATTTTTCCACTGCAACCAGAGCGAAAGGTAGACGAGAACATACACATCTATACGTACAGTGTGTAAGCGTTGGTGTATACGTATTTGCCTTCACGGATCCAGCGGAGAAGAGATGTGAGACGATTTTTATGTTTTGCTTTTTTATTTTATTTTCGTTTCGTCGTAACTACAAAAAAGTTTTTTTTTTTTTATACAAACTGCTTCGAAGGACGTCTTTTTTTTCACACGCTATAAAAAAAAAGGTACATGAAATGAACGCTTTGACACTTTTGTGACTTTTAGAACAATATATTTTATAATTTGATTAAAAAATAATTATCGTTAAATAATTAATAATTTGTAGCTTTGACTTTGGCAGTCGATGGAATGATTTTCATGTTTTATTTATTTATTGAGGTTCACATGCTTAATGTTAAAAAAAATACTCAGTTCCATACAGCTTGAACTCAAACGTGGAATAAGTACGGTCAGTATTCTTTTTGTTTGGACTTTTAGTTTCGACCTGAATTTTTTATTGAATTCAACTTCAATTACATTCAATTTTCATTAAAAAAAATTATTCATTTTTTAAACTTAATTTTTAATGAATTGATTTTAAAAAGTATTTAATAAATTTTAGATATTGGGATTTTTAAATAAAAAAAAATTTGATATCTGCTGCGGGATTGGATTTCGGTTCCACTATTACAACAATTGTTTAAACCAAGAACTAAAGTACATCATTATCTTCTTAGGTTAATGCAAATTATTTCATGGGCCTTAGCAGTATTAATGATTAGTGTGTGTATTTATTAGTTAGCTGTAGGGGATAATGCAACCCACCTATCTTAAAGTCCAATTACATTACATTTAATATGCTTTTGCTAAATTAATTATTTCCGGGTTTGATTTTCAAGTGGTTGGCGATTGCTTTTATCCAAACATATGGGCCGATTAATGAATTAAAAATAAAATTAAAAAATATTGATACCACAATTTAAAAAAAAACCCATCAAAACTAAGAATGAGCTACAAAATAAAAGGCTTAAACCACTAAATAAAGATTAAATAATATATATAACCGAGTGATGAAAGTGACTTAATTACTTATCATACACTTACATTAACATCAATCTGATCTTAAATCTTATCAATGCAAGAGATCCATAAGCACATTTCTAATTTATTTCCCTCGCTGAGACACACACAAAGCAAACAATGAAAAATTTCTCAGACAGCAACTGAAGAACTCATTTCACCGAGAAGACTGGAGTATGTGTAATACTCTGAAGTGCCCTGAAAGCCAGGAACAAGTTCCGACAATACCCTCAAGATTGAAGCCAGGTGCTGCATGTCATTAGCTGCATATGCTGCTTCTAGAAACAACAATGGCGGCACAGTCCTCACCTGCATTCCCATCGAAAACCCGTCCTAAACATGGAGCGTTTTCTCATATAATACAATGGCGATATCGTCTAAATTCAGATCTATGTTCATTTCTCCTAGATTGCCCGGGAAAGTTTTTTCGTTTTTCCAAAAACTACTTTGTGGCGTTAAGATGGTCGGATCAAGAAATTGTTATACCTTGTGCTTCTGTGCGTAGCGTAGAGCTTCGAGGTAATATCCATCTTGCACAAGACACAAGATGTAATCTTGCTGCAGGGAAAGTTGTCTCAACATATCTAGACCGAGTTTCCTAATCTGAGAGTTTTGGCAACCCGATTCGAGAAGTTGGAAGGCAACCTCCTTCGAGGGCTCGATTATCTGCGCAGAAATGAAGCACCACAGCCCGTGAAACAAGAAAACAAGATCTTTTGTTTAAGGTTCTTGAAAAGACAAAGATCCCATCCAAACCTTGTTCGTGATGAATATCGCCAGTTCTGTATGTCGTTTGCTGTGGGCTAATAGCTTGATGGTCATCACATACACATCAGGAGGTACTTTGAGTTTTTCTGAACCAGCACTGCACAAAGGAAACAAATTAAGAAACACAGAATCAACGAATCCACACATCATGGAGAAGACCAAAGAAGATAAGTTTATATAATCATCCTAGTATCAGTGAACAACTTTATAAACGATTCCATGTGCTTATCATGCAGATCTCCAAAAGTTAGTACAAACCAAGCCATTCAGTTAGGAACTATAAATAGACAGAATCTTCAGAACTCTACCTGCGAAGGAACTCTGTAATAATAGCAACCAAGTAATCAGATTCCTCCGCCATCACTTCATCCAGAGAAGCAAAAACAAATTTGTACAATTCATCTGGTGAAATGGCTGGTGACGTAAGTTGAGATTCTTGCTGCTCAGAGATATTGGCACAAAACATGTTATCCTTTGAGCCAGATGACAGGTTCATTTCCGCTTCGTCGATGTTACTTCCAGATGATGTATGCCTTTCATTATCTGCAGAATTAGAGGGGGTAAAAGTTGAAGAACAGACTAAATGAGTTACTAACCATTGAAGGGAGCAAGCACGCATGTATATTGAATAAATGGTCTTTCCAGTTCAAGGAAATAACCAGAAGAAGCATCCGCTCTAGATTGAGGAGCAACAGTGTTTGGGGTAGATGACATGGTGGTCTTCTCATTCTTGTATGTGCCAGTTCTAACAGCATTGGAGTATGATGTGACCAGTACTTCTATTGCACGGGAAACCAAGGTTACGGGTCTGCGTTCTAAAATAATAGTTCTTGCTATCCCAAAGCACAGTTGCTTAGCCTGAAATACCGCAGTGAAGAAATTATATTACAGTTGCATCTAAGATGCAACCAAATGATACTACAATAAATCCATTGTGAGGCCGACTTTCCTGGTGGAGACACGTCATCCAACTAATATTGCAAGAAATATGAGATCTATGAACCACAGATTTCTAAGGTTGACCTGTCTACTGAACACTAGATTAAGTCATCAGAATTCCACAGAGATATATCTACATATAACCTTTTCTCTGGCATCCTAACAATATATGTAACTTTAGAGCTAATATTTCTTCCTGGACCATCATAAATGCTTGATTATGCTCAGGCAAATTCCAATGGAAAAGGCAGAGTATGAAGAGAGTTCAGGACCTTATTTGCTTCCAATTTCCTTCGCTGAAGGAATTCCAGTAGAGATGCCACTTCTGAGGTGCTAGCAGAAATAGCCTGCAGCAAGACAAAACATATATATTCCCAAAAAAATCTAAAATTGCAGTTTTGCCAGTTAAGAAAAGAAGACAAAACCCAACTTGCCTCGACGTCTAAATGGATCTTCCACAGAACGCTGTTTGTCCGATCGAGAATGAGGTCTGGAACAAGAAAGGTCCAACCATCTTCATACATGACAATATCTTCAGCACTAGTAGTTGTCTCTGAGCCCTCGTTTTCCTCATCAGCAGCTTGAGACATGATGCCAGACCTTGGGGAACCCCTCAGCAGCAAAGGAAGGGGAGCAGAGACAGGAGCTCGAGAATCCACAAATAAATCGTAAATTATAACAACCTTTGCTTCAATTTGGTGCACGAGCAATACATTGTCAACCATGCTCACTGCTAATTTGCTTGAATATATTGGTAAAGAACCCTGTACCAAGAGCCGTTAGATAAAAGGGGAAACCAAATCCTTTTATAATGATGATGACACGTCTGGATGCACAGGAAAATGCTCTTTAGCTGTCTCAAATATACAAGACTCAAATAGTAAAATGAATCTTTTATCCACTCAGCATTATTTTCCTTCCTCCTCCTCCTTCAACACTAAAATGATAATATTCTTTAGATTTTAGAGTGAAAAAAATTATAATGAAGAACAATTTTTCATTCTAATAATATTATATTCACCTCTTTTATATACCAACATTACAGTATTCATTAGTATGGTAAATACAATATGTTCTAAATCCTATATTATTTCACCATGTTTGGAAATGACCATCAGTGTGTAAACAATCGCAGAGTAATAAAACACCAGTAAACGGGCAAAACCAAAAGGTTTACCTGTTGTATGACTGCATCTCGGTAAAACCTATATAAGTGGAGAAGCATTGCAGCTCTATCCACTTGTAAGCAGTATATCCGCCCATATCTGAAAGAGAATGAGTAAAATTTCGCTACCCTGCTTAGTGGTGCAATGACCAATAAGATAGCTTGAAAGGAAAAGAAAAAGAAAAAAACGAAACCACACAGAAGAAACATACACAGTCACTAGGTGGACATCTTTAGAAGAGAGAACAGGTTTACTGTTTGCCTCAGATTTAGCCATGGCCATCTCAAACCTTGGCAGACGGACAATCCCCGCAGAGGAAAGCTGCAAAAAGTAGATTGAATTGATATGAAACCCCTCCCTTAATGTTCAACTACAACAACATAATGAAAAAAGTTGAATGGTAATCATAAAAACCGACCGGCACACAAGAATATACATCACGCAGTGCAGTAACAAATATCATGAACTAACTGGGTGGGGGAAGCCCAAACCTATAGGTGAACAGAGTTCGAAAAATCAATTTTAAACATCATTGATTCATTAATCTTGATCTGCCTCATAAAGGTTCAAACAAAATGGAATGTAAGGTTTACCTGAAACCCAGTAAATGTCTTGCACTGCACTCCAGAGGCAAGAAGAACAAGTCGGGTTTCATGAGTGTAGATGAACCAACTCACGTTCTGTTTCTTGGTTTCCACCAAACGGAGTGTCATTGACGTAGAATCACAAACAAACAAGTCCAGACCACTGAAATAAAGGTCTTCTCAGTAAAGTGGATAAAGAGAAGGGTATACACAATAAATTAAATTTTAAAATATATTAACCATGGAGAACCGAACAAAGGAAGGCAACAATAATCTTGAGGACGCTGACACTTCCTAGAGGCCGGATGGTGATAGAACTAAACATCAGATTAAGAGCTATTTGCCTCAGAGGTTTCAAACGGGGAAAGAAGTTTCCTAATATAAAGTTGTGTGAGCTACTTCATTCCTGATAAAATGAGTTCCCAAAATTGACTAGATCTAGACTCACTGCATGAACCACCTACGAAGGTTCCCAAAATTTGCCTTATTATTTCACGTTCTCTAAGTAGTCCCTCTGTTATACATATGCTCTTTTGTCAATTATATGACTGCACCAACACAAGCATCCATGTCGTATAACATTTAACCAATGGGAAGAAAGGAGACCGAAGCCATGTCAAATTACCCGATGAGGGACCAGTTGTTATGGTAAACAGGTAAGGAAAACTGGTAGCTGTCACTATGGCAAAGACATTACATTGATATGGGAATGCAGGAGACTAATATTAAAGCGGTGACATTTTTAAGATCTCAAGAACCTCTAACATGTGTTTACCATCTGAAGTTAGCATCAACACTCCGTTCAGCTAGCAGGATAGAAAACTTTTTTTTTTTTGAAAGATAAAGAGAAGTCCTAGCTTAAATTTGGGTAAGGTAAACTTTTTCTTATCATGCCTTCCTTTAAAAAACTGGAACGAGAGAGCGATAGAGCCAAAGAACACCTAACTATAGGGCTCATCATACACATGATATATATCGGGTAAGAATCTTATTACTAACAGTTAGAGAAGCGTATTTCTTGTCTACTCAATGATCAGGATCTCCAATTACACAAACAAACCCATTTCTCAATGTTCACCATCTCCAGTTATGCAAACTTCATTGTGTGCAAAGGAAATGGAAGATTCCATGCAGTTAATAACACACAGAAAGAGGTTTACCTGGTCTTCACAATTGCGATATCACACAAAGGACAGTCACTCCAAAGGAATCCCAGAATGCTCTCTGACCCAACTTTGCATTTGTGGCTATATATCTGCTTGGTTTCTCGATTGAAAAACTGTATCTCACTGTCAGATCTTTGGACAGCTATCAACTTTAGATCAAGTGAGAACCGGATAGACAATATAGGCCCTTCACTTATAGAATCTTCTGAAGGTACAACGTTGGGATCAAAGGGGGCTGTTTTCCATGAAAAGACCTAGATGAAAATAAGGAAATAAGTTGATATCATCAAGCTTAAATAAGATATCAGTTATATGACCGAAAAAATACCAAAATACACTGATTGTGTGGATTCACAAGGATATTGATTTCAATTATATATAAAAAAAACTTGTGCACCTGACTAGGTGTAGTAGAAATTAGCAGCCTGTTGGCATCATCATAGAACCACCCCCTGGATCCAGGAATATTGCCACATAGAGGTGGATGTTGTATATACACGTGTGACAAAGTACCAGATCCACCTGAGCAGACGCCTGCCTGTGAACTCGACGGATTGTTAGCCATGTTTCCACTTCTGCAAGCAAATTTGATGTTTTCATGTCAGCAGCCAGAAAGTATTAAAAAAAAGAGTTGCTACGACAAGTTTACCATGCAATATGACACCACAATGTGAATGGATGGGTTATAAGTTGGTAAGTCGGCATATCAGACATAAAGGAAAAACAAAGTCAATTAGAATCAAAATTGACAAGGGGTCTTGGAGCAAATCAGACCTATTTTTTACTCTTCAATCGGTGTAGATAGATGCTTCTTAGGACAGTCAAGTGAAGAGAAATGGTTGAGATTCAAGCCTTTCGTTGGAGCTATAAGGAATAAAACATGTTATTAGAACTTATAGTTGCAAGCGATGAGTTTCTGATAACCCTTTTAAATAAAGTACAACCAAAAACTTGGAAGCTTCTGAACATTATACCGTATGCTGCATACAAGTCTTCAAGGCAAGAAACTCTTTCAAGCACATGTCTTTCTCAACTTCAGGGACTTTGGAAGCAACACAGCTCCCATATTCTTTGGCCTATGATAAATTGACCCTTTAGTCAGATAACAACAGGATCTGGAAGATACAATACAGAAGAAACTCTGAAATAATATACAAAGACAGTTAACCGTTTCATTTAATACCAATATTGACTTACAGTCCAAAAGATATGACTTTACTTAAATCAAGATAAATTTTATGGGATTAACAACATTATATCTTTTTCCCATGCATGTTTTCAACTAACAATAGAAAAACTCTCAGGGAAGAGAAATTATATAACATTTTGCAACTTCTACTTCCAAAACCCCTTTTAAGCTCATGGACTACAATAGAGATTACAGAGAGATCCACAAGAGATAAAACATAGAGATCTGAAAGGAAACCAGATGAAGATCAAGTTGATTGTGTGGTCTTCTCTAAGAAAGCATGAAGATAATTCTCAAAGATGAGAGCGGCACTATCTTCTCCTATCTCAATCGACAATTGTAATCTTATGGCACAAACACTAGCACAGCCTATCATGGAGCCAGTCAATATATAGGATTTCAACCTAAAAACGAACTGTGGTAATTCAAAAAAAAAACAAAATCCTACATTCTCAAAACTTGAAAGATTTAAAAAAATCCCTAAACAAGTAAATGAAGCTGTGGACAAACCTGCTTCGCACAAGTAGCTAAAATCCGTCTAAGACTCGAGGCAGCGGCGGAATTCTTCTCTCTCATTGCTGCATAGCTGAAGCTTAAAAAGACAAGTCGGAAAATAGTTCAACTTCAGAATATAGAGGAAACCCAGCAGATCCACCAAAATTAAGTCCAACCTTCTCCTTCAGAAACCCCAAAAAAAAACCCAACTTTTTCCACCAGAAGATGCACCCACGCAAAAGAAAGGATCTTGCAAGTCTTTTAATCCGATTTTTACCAACGAGACAAAACCCAGCTGTACTTTGAACCCTAAAACGATCTTTGACTGACAAGACAAATCGAAACATGACTCAACACAACAAGGGAATTTTCTAACCAATATACGAAATTGAAAATAAAATCGAAATGTAAACGAGATAGCACGTTAAAACCGACCACGCGAATCCAATAAGGAAGCGAGAAAACGAGAGAAAAACGTTACGTCACCTGCAAAAAAACAGAGATGGAATGGGAGAGGAAATCGAAGGCCGATTGATTCGGGAAGAGCAATGAACACTCCTCGATTCGCTCGTGGGAAAATCGATGAGTCGTCGGCGATGATCGCGATCGGAGAAATTCGGCGATGGATCGGCGTTGGACAATGCCGATATCTGAAATTATATTATTAGTGAATCAAAGATGGGCTTTCTTGGTTGAAATAATTTATGGGCTTTTATTTGTTCTCACTTCCTCACTGAATAATATTCAAAATTCGAATTCGAAATGATAAAAAAGTAATAGAAAAAGTAGAATAAAGACGAATTTAAAAATAAATATTTTTATTAATAAAAATTAAAATGGAATGGAATCAAACAAAATGAAATTTAATATAAAACATAGATATAGTTTTTTTAAAAAAAATATATATAAGTCCAAAATAACAGAACCAAATCTAGACCAGAAATATCTAATACTACTTTTAATGATGATTACTTAATGGATTAACGCAATTTGATTACGGTAAGGCTCGGATAATGAAGGAATAATTAATAATTAATTTTTCGAGTATTGAATGAATAATTATATTTTTGTCATCGGCATAAATTCATTACTTATATAAAATAAATAGACATATGTTTATCTTATTTATTTTTAAATAGAAAATTAGTCAATAAAAGATAACTAAATTTGCAATCTCATTTTTTAGAAGATTAGTATTTGATTGATATTTAGAAATCACTTATCGCTCACAATAATAAATTAGGACCAATTAATTGAAATAAAATTGTTACCATCGTGAGAAGGTTCAATTTCTTCCTTTCCCGATTGAGCAACAAAAGAGTTTCATTCTAGTATAATAATAATATCTTGAAATTTTTATTTCAAATATATTTTTCACTGTTTATAAATTTGTCATTTGTGCTGTTCGAACCATTCATTCGTTCTTGTGAAAAATAATTAAACAATATTTAGATGTTAAGTACACTAGGTAAGTATATAATTTGTTTGAAATTATATAAAGGTTCATATACCCGAAAACCCTACTACCATCAATAAATATAGCACCATTTTCATAAAAAAAAAATTGAAAAATAATTTAAATAATACATTTGAAAATCTAAACTCAAAACTGAAGTTGAAACTCTAATCAAATGAAAAAAAATGATTATGAAAAACATTAAAAATACACTAAGCTATATTTTATTAATTTAATATCCAAAAACACATATTTCTGCCAAATACCTTTTTGTAATTAAAAAACAGTTGTTTTTTCTTTAATTCTAGCTATTTAATGTGTAGAAGTTTTCTGGAGACATCCGAAAAAAGGGTTCATGTTTCACTTAACCGACAAAAAACTCTGAGCAATGCATCCCTTGAATTTTCCGACACTAACATAGTAGTGGGCAGTTGAGTTAGAGAGAGAGAGACTTGTTACATCAAATGACAATGAGAGAGAGAGAGTACGAGCTGGTCCTAGTGATAATAAAAGTGAGGGAGAGTACTCTTATATTGTATTTGGTTACCCTTCGGTCCATTTATTTAAATGCGTGGACCCACCCATATGTTTGTGCTCTTATGCCAACACTGTTTTTGATATAAGCCTCCAAACTGTGTTGTATCCAATGGATATCCTTTGATGAGTTAGTTGAATACTTCCTTTCTTTCAATTGGGTTTTTGGTAGTAAATGAGTTCATACCCGAAAACGTTGCTGCGGTTAAATAGCCTTAGTTGGCTTTTTAATATGCCATTTTTGGTAGTTGGAGATTATGAATGGATGAAAAATAATTTTTTTTTTGTGAATGCTTAGATGGTCGATTCTAATCCGAAGCCGAAAAAAAAACAAATCGATACGATTTGAGTTTTCTGATACAGTTTTAATTTGGGATGAGCATTTTGGTATTCGATTCAGGCACTATTCAGTTCTATAAAAATATGTATCAATCGACTAATATTTTATATTCGGTTCGGGATTTAATTTAAAAAAAAATAGATTTTCTTAACAAATTTTTTATTTATCGGGTTTTTTAAAAAAAATTCAAAAAATCAGTTTTTTTAAAAAAATATCGTTTGAAAATTTTAGATGATTCGATTCGAGAACGGTACTGCATTTTTCTATTTGATACGGTTCGGTTCTAAAATACCGTACCGAAACTCCTATCCATAGTTTTAGGTTGAATTAGTTTTAAAATAATCGAGCGATTCTACCAACCAATTTAAATTTGGATTTGTTTATTTATTTTTTTATTGGAAGATTTGTTTATTTATTTACATTCTTGAGATGAATGATTCTACCCGAAATTTATTTAGAGCCTACTCAAGTAACTCAACCCAATATTTTAAATCCGAAAATATATCTAAAAATATCGAAACCAAATTGGCCATCACAAGTCTCCATGATTGGCTTATTCGTATTTGTTACCTTTTTTTTAATCATTGCAATCATCGTCCACCTTTCTCGAGGGTTTTCCGTTTTCCCGAAATGTTATATGATTTCATTGATTGTATCCCAAACATTAGGAAACCTCAACTTGAAAATCAGACATATGTAGTTCCTTCCATCTCACACACACACACACACACACATATATATATATATATATATATATTACCATATAGCATTGACAAACTCAATCCATTCATGCAACATATATATATACACATAGGTTTATTCTTTCTTTTATATTTTTTATAAAAATAACCCAAACATATTAATCAATGGTCCTTCTTCGAAAGTTACTTATATATAAATATATCACCATATGGCAGTGACAAATTCGATCCATTGATTGCATATTTCATGTAACATATTGCACATCTACGTTTATTTTTCTTTTATAGATTTCATATATAAATAACCTAACATCTTATAATGATCTTCTTAAAATAACACTTTTATTTAGTTTTTTCAAATTAAAATCAACTCTCATGAAAAAAAACGCACAAAATATAATCAAGAACTAAACTCTTAAAAAGAATTACTTTTTCACAACCCTTTTATCCAAAAACCACTTGTAACTAAAATAAAGAATTCGATTTACCAAAACATTGCAATAAAATATAAACATTTATATAATATAATAGCCGGAACAGGGAACACCACAGAAGTTTCTTTTGTATGAAATGTGCTTGGAATCTAGGGTTTACTCATTTACTCACTAAGTAGACACGTGGAAAAGGTTGAGCAACAAAACAAAAAGGTTCATTAATACATCAACTTTTTTTTTTTGCTATTTTTATGTATATAATTTAATATCTCCGTCCTGTTTTTCTTTGCTTTAAAAATACATTAGATTATTTTTGTTGGTTTTTGAGTGGGTGACTTCAATTTTCATGACTTAATGAATAAAACGTTTCCTATTTCACTTTCAACAATTGTAGCTAGATTGAAATAAAAACCAAAAATATAAAAATAAAAATTCAAGAGCTTGGTATACTTAGGAGACAAAATATTAGAGAACTTCATTCAACAGAAAATTACACAAACCTCTCAGATCTTTAGTATTTCATTTTAGATTAATATATGAATTTTAATTGATTAAATGTGTAAATACATGAATTTTAATTTTAATATTTTAAATTATTAGCAGACGATGGTAGATATTTCAACATCGGTCGTTGCCTACCTCGGATATACTTTCAACCTGGGCTATGCAGTTCGGATATATGGAGATCCACAGCGGAGCTATGCTGGCCTTCACCGCCAACCGAGCTAGGCGACTGCCGCTCATGGATGGAGCAGCATGAAGGAGAAAGCCACCGAAGACAACCGACAATTATTCGGCTCGCAATGCAGATAGTAGTGTATGAGTTATGGCGGGAGCCAGCGGAACAACCGAACCTTCCTAGGGAAAGTCGGAACCAGTGGTCAGATACGAGCCAAGATAGACCGGACTATGCGGGACGTTACTTTCCTGGAAAGTATCACATAGGCAGGCCACAGACTGCACTTTACTCGGTACTATTTGACTCGGTATAGCTGAGAGTTTCCTTTAAGTTAAGGTTTTGGGATTGCTATCGAAACGATTACCACACGCGCATGTGATTTGTTTACCTTTTGAGATCTTTTGTAAATGTGTCACAAGGGGATGTAAATCATATTTTTGACGATTAATACAAAGCACCTTTCCAACAAAAAAAGTAATGTTCTTTTAAGATGGTTTTCGAGATATCAATATCTTAGGGTTATAAATATCTTAGGGTTTAACGATTCGAGTCTAACCATTCATAAATGAACCGTTTTTTTATAATGTAGGACCCCTAGTTGCTATCTTTCGGGCGCGTTGACTAGGTAAACCTTCGGCCCGGAAGCAACCTTTGTATATTGATCATATAAACCTGGAAATTACCTTCCTCTCCACCGGCCAAGAATTGAACACTCAACCTCAAGGTGGAGTTACCTCCTACCCCAAGCTTGACCAATCGTCAACGATCTGTTGGGTTCATAAATGAACAGTTACTTATTCTCCCGAGAGAGATTCGAATCTGAAATGCTGTTAGTATTATATATATGTAATTGGTACTTAATTGTTTAAAAATTATTTTTCTAATATAGCTAATTATAATCATAGTTCACGTTGTATAACCTGCTATACATGACACAGATATGTGGGTGTGTAAAATGGAACCTCAAATGTAATGTAGGGGTCGGTCAAAGGGAAACAAAGGTGGCGAAATTTAGGCCATATGTGTTTGGCCAACTAAATTCGCACACACATATGTATATATACATGTATATATATACGGAGAAAATATGTTTTAATTAATGGAACCATATAATAATTTAGTCAGACATGTTACATGCATCATATACACCAGATTTCTTCTAGTTAGATCCTATGGTGATGAATCAATGGGACCCGTTACCGATTCACTTCAGATTTGAAAATTAACTATCTGATTTAGACGTCACGAAACAGTCCAAAAAAAAGAAGATGAAGAAAGAGAATACTACCACACAAAAACGCACACATTATATATTTTGGATAACTGGATATTCTGGATCAATGCTCGTATTAATCCTGAGACCGCGAGTTAGCAATGTTGTTTGGATTATATGATCCCTCTCCAAATTTAAAATTCGAATTCGAAGCGAGACATACGTTTTGCGGTCTCATTTTATCGGTTGAACTACTCAAATTTGGGTTATATGTATATATTATGTTTGGTGTGACCACTAATTTGCATATGAACTTGAAGATGAACAACTTTACAAAAAAAAAAAACAAGAACTATGAAAGGATAACCAAACAACTAATATCTAATCAAATGGCTTGTAGGGTCCCTCCCTATGAGATCGGTGAAACAAGTTAAGCACTACAGTAAATCCTGTCGGTTTGCAGTCCTTTTGGGTTATATTTGATTTTTTGTTTTTACATCTATTTAGTTTTAATCGGATTTCGATTTAGAAAAAAACATTGATTTTTGTTAAAAAAATGTTTTTAAGTAAAATATTTTGTAGGCTTTCTAGACATGTTATTCATTCCGTAATTTTTTCAATTTAATTTTTAAAAATTATACAATAAATATATTTTTGTATTAAATTCAATTAAAACATAAATTTTATTTTATAAATATTTGATTAGGCTCGATATGAATTCTAGTTAATTAATTATTTGACGTTAGGTGAAGTTTTTTTATTGGCAAGATTTAGAGATGCATGCTTGTTGTTGAACACAAACCATGTAACATAATTTTTAGAACTACCAAATCTCAACGACGAATAAAAAATAAAAAAATAAAAATTACAACAATTTCTTTTGAGATATTATAAGATTTTTCTTTAAAATATTGTCAATAGTTTTACTGGAAACTATTCGAATAAAAATATGATTCCAAAGAAATGTTCATTTTTAAAGGTTTGAAATTCATGATTTCATTTCGTTATCTACAACTAATAAACGATCTAATTATATTGCCAAACTATAATGGAAATTTTTAATGATTTATGGCATGTATAAATAGGATCGGAAACATTCTATAAAGCAAATAACTAAGTTAGATAATCCAAATCTAAGACAAGAAAAAAAATATCCAAATCTAATTAGGACTCAAGATTCAAATCATGACATAACCTACTAAAGATGAAGATCCAAACTCAGATGGTCTTGTACACTTGTCTTGGGTTCGTACAACATGCTTCGCGTGCCCGAATCACCACCGACAACGCATGCCGATGGCGTAAACCGCAGAGATTGGTTCTTGTTAGATGAACGGTCACGATTAAAAGTTGATGAAGATGTATCATAGCGTCTCCATAACCCTAATCGAGAGCCGTTGGCCGGAGAGTTGTAAGCTCCGTCGACGCCGCCGAAGTGGTTGCTTCCGAAAACCCTGGAAGAATTAGCCCAAGGATAAGAAGAAGTGCTTGAGGAAGTTGGGAACCCGTAGCGGTAGCCTAACGCTGCGTTTGCGTTTGCGTTTGCGGTTGAGAGGAGGTGAAAGCGTTTGGCTAGCTGGCGTTCTCTCTTGTGGGCGTTTTGGTGACCTCCTAGGGCTTGTGAAGTGGGGAAGTTCCTGCAACAGTAGTGGCATTCGAATCTTCTGCTGCTGTTACTGTTAGCACTAGTATTGGTAGAAGTAGTAGTAGTAGTAGTGTTGCTATTGATATTAACAATGCTTTGGTAATGCTCCTCCTCCTCCTCGTTGTCGAGTTTAAGCTTTGATTCTTGGTCTTGAGAAGTTGCGAATTCGATACCGAAGAGACGAATTGGCCTCTCCTTGTACAGTTCTTGGGTCCGGCCAATGATTGGGAGCTCGGAGAAAGACTCTACGTTCATGAAATCATGGGTCATCATCTCGTTGCTCGGCTTCTCCATTTGAGAGAGAGAGAGAGAGAGAGTGAGAGAGAGATGGGAAATGGTGAATTGGGTAGAGTCTAAACCATGTTCTTATATATATATATATATGTGTGTGTGTGTGTGTGTGTTGTAGTTATGTGATAGTGGTGGTGAGGGGCTTCTTTGCTTTTGGCTTCCAATGGTCCTATTATTTATGTTGCTTCTTCAACCTTGTGTGTTTTCAACCTTCAACACTCAAATTATTTCTTCCATTTAATTCCTACGGATGTAAACATAAATACTTACATACACACATGTACATACACACACACACACATATATATATATATGTATATATATGTATATATTCCATTTAATCTAAATCTTTCATATTGCAAAATGATATTAGAGTTCCAAATTGGAACATACCCTTATTTTTCCTAATTGATTTAAAGAACAGATACATTGGCCATATGTGTCTCATGTGATATTGCATAATTTCCTGACACACATTCCATTTCCACATCCACAATATAACTTCGTGTTTCCCTCTCATTGTACTTAATCTTCGTATCTTGTCACATCATATATTATACACCATATTATGTCCCGTTCATCACCCCCTATTAGCATATATTTGTTTTGACATGTATTGAAACTCGACCACGAAAATTTACCCAAAGAATTGGACTATAAATTTTCTACAACAAATACTTAGATTATGTTTTGTTTACCAATTGAAAAACGTGTCATAAGGCATGTCTGGAAGCAAATGGTTATATTCAACCCTAGGGAATTTATCTTGAATACATACATACATACATACATACATACATACATACATACATACATACATACATACATACATACATACATACATACATACATACATACATACATACATACATACATACATACATACATACATACATACATACATACATACATACATACATACATACATACATACATACATACATACATACATACATACATACATACATACATACATACATACATACATACATACATACATACATACATACATACATACATACATACATACATACATACATACATACATACATTTGGTCTAAGAGAGCCCAAAAATCTTGGACTATGCATAAAAACCTAATGTGTCCAGTGAAATTTTGAATTTTCTATAACAAATGGGTGCCATCTCTTTTTCTTCTTTTGTAATCCCTCTTTAATTATTTTGTTTGATAATGAATGGATAGAATCTTATTAACATTTAGTGTCGTTTTTATGTAATAACCAGCGAGTAACGAGTCCAAGCCTTTTAAAAAGACTGCCAAACACATATTTTGACATATTTAATTCATAACTATAGTAACGTTATAAATTCTTTTTCTTTTTATTATTAAATCGTTTCCGGCACAAATATATTAAGAAAATCACGGAGCCAACAGAAAGTTAATAGCCAATCTTTTCCATATAATTAAGCGGTCCATCAAACCGTATATAAAAGCAACAAAAGATATGATAAAGACTAATTAAAAGCACACAATGTGACCACACACAGAGACATGGTTCGTTCAATAATGCAAAGCGTAGACATTGTACTCGACAACAGCATCTCCCGTGTTCATGTCAAGGCTATGAGTCTTCGCCTTCGCGTATCCTCTCGCGAACCGGAAGGCACCGCTTCCCCCAACGATCGGCATTTCCCTTATTCCCGAAAACACGGCGTTACGCCCGAGAACGCTAAGCGTGCTCCCGTTGTATTTCCCTTCCTTGAACACAAAGTTCAGAACCATCAGCAACCCGACCTCGGTCTGAGAAGCCGAGGCGTATATTCCCTGCGCGTATCCTATGGTTTTCGATTTCGGGTCGGGCAGTAAGGTCAGAGGGTCGTCCATCATCATGACGGAGCCGAAGAACGAGCGTGAAGTATTGGTCATAGCGGCTGCGGCCACTCTCACGGCGGTAGGGTTTTGGCCGCTCAGAACGTCGTGGAAGTAGAAATGGAGGTGGCTCAGCTTCTCTTTCTTGAGCCCCAAGGAAGAGGGAGAGATCGTTTTCGAGTATTTGTGAGATTTCGAAGAACCTAGGGCTAAACAGAATGCGAGAGTGAAGATTATGAGAAAGCTTGCCTTTGCCATTGCCATGGAGAAAGGGAAGAACAATGAGAAGAGAAGGTTTAGATTTGGTATTTCTGTAGGTTGCTTTGTGATTCTGTGTGTGTGTGTGTGTGTGTATATATATATAAAAGGAGCTGTATTAATTTTAGATTTTTTTTAGGTTTCTGTATTAATTTTAGAGATGACAATATCTTTTTTCTTTATGGAAAATAGTTATCTGTCGTAGATATGGCTAAAATTGGATCTGTTCTATTCTTATTTAGGTTATTATGTTGTAAAGTTCTATTTTGAAAAAAAAAAAAAACAGATTCATTCTATTTATCATTGCTGTGCGAAATAAAAACTTTAATTTGCAAATTATACGCAAAAGAAGAAAAAAAAAAGATGTCGAAAATGGGTTCTTTAGTAGTTTTACAAAAATTGAGGGGTTCTTTAGTAATTTTATCACAGTCCAAAAAGGGCATTAGAACAGAAAACACAAAGTCCTCCTCCTGTTTTTTATGTTTGGGTAAAAGGGTAATTTCCAATGATAAAGTCTTCTTCAATAATGCATGACATAAACATCGTACTCAACGACAGCATCTCCCGTCTTGAGATCAAAACTATAAGTCTTCGCCTGAGCATACCCTCTCGCGAATCTAAACGCACCGTTTCCTCCGACGATCGGCATCTCCCTCACGCCCGAAAACACCGCGTTTCGGCCGAGAACGCTAAGACTGCTCCCGTTGAAATCCCCTCCTTTGAACGCAAAGTTCAGGACCATCAACAGGCTGAGCTCTGTCCGAGAGGCCGAGACGTACATCCCCTGCGCGTATCCTACGGTTTCGGACGCCGGGTCGGGGAGGATCGTCAGAGGGTCGTCCATCACCATGACGTCACCGAAGAGCGTGCGTGACGCGTTGGTGACGTCGGTATTAGATATATAGTAATACTATATATCTAATAGTCGGCTTCGGCCACTCTGACGGCGGTCGGGTTTCGGCCGCTCACGATGTCGTGAAAGTAGAATTTGATGTGGGTGAGTTTCTCTTCGGTTAGTCCCAAGGAAGAGGGAGAGGTCGTTGCCGAGAATTTGCGGGGTTTTGTAGAGGCTAAGGCTATGCATAACGTGAGAGTGAATAGAACGAGAAAGGTTGGTTTTGGATCTGGTGAGGGTTTTGCCATTGCGAGAGAAAGATAGGAGAGTTAACAGTACACAGATGAGCCCATGAATATGCATATATATACGTATATATACATACACACACATACATATATATATGTTATGGCATATATATATATATGTATGCATGGGAAAGTGCCAAATTAAGGGATGTCTTTTGGTAGGTGTTTAATGTGGTTGAGGAAAACTTAGTCTACCGTATTTAATTAGTAAGATTGACATTCAATCACTGCCTTACGTAAAACTACGTATAAAAAATATTGCCTTAATGTATATATTATTACCCAACATTTATGTATTGTTCATGCAAATTTCTGGGTTTTTATTTATTTACTGACACTTTCTACATTATAATGTACTGTAATTAATAATTTATAGTACATTGCATCAACTGGATTTAGGGCCCTAATAAATAAACCAAAAACGTAAATTTAGTTTTTTTTGGGATTCCCTAACGTTGAATTTACCGGGAGTATTTATCAATTTTCTAAAATATACTTTAGACCCAAGATTTTTATTCGATGAATATTAATATTTATAAATTTAATATATTAAGATTATAAAAGAAGTATAATCTTGAAAATTAATAACACCCCACATCCATTAAGAAAACAAAACAAATCGAACAATCTCCATTTTGTATATATACCACATGCAATGGATTTCAACAAGTAACCAAATCCAAAATCAGTTTTCCAAAGACACAGGAGCACCAATCTCACTCCCCACCATGTTAACGCACATGTTCCATGTCTGCTTGCTCTTTGGAACACCCTTAGAAGCCATGTCCTTGTACTCATACGTAGAGAAAACAAGCTGAATCAAACTTAGATGGCATTCTTTCCCGAGCTTCAGAAGATCTACGCAACAATCTCTCGATACCGGCGAATCACGGATCGCGTTTCTCAGCACCTCGTCTCCGCATTTTGAGCTCGATTTCTCCGAGCAATCGTGGAGATACTTCAATCTCTCGGGCGAATAATGGCTAAACAATTCGCTATCGTATGCCTGGGCAGGAGGATTTACTAGCTCAGGCTCGACATCAGGCACTTCGATGATGAATTCATGAGACGGGACGGGCGATGAGGCGTCTTCGAACTCATACAATTTTCCGAAAATCGGGTGAGCCGCAAGTGCAGATACGAGCAATGCTATGAGAAATGACTTAGCCATGCCTGTTTTCATTAGTTTGTGTTCGTATTTTCTTTGTAATTATGGTTTGGTGATGAAGAAGAAGCCATTTATATGATGTTATATGGTACATGGAATCCTTGATCTTATTGTTATTTGATGGAATTTTTGTTCATTGATGAGTTTTCTTTTTGGTACGTTATTAAGTTCTTGAACCGTCGTTATATGCCTTTAATCAATTGGAAATTAATCATGTATAATTAAAACTGCAAATGACATTATTGCCTTATAATTCGTTTTTTTTTTGTAGGGCCGCACAATTAAATCATCAACGAATTTCAATGGTTTGCATTAATACTCGATTTTTTTATAAAAATAAAATAAAATTAAAGATCTTTTTTATTTTTAGTAGAATATATGGCCTTAAGTTAGTTTTTTAATAATAACTTCATCACCAAAATTAATTTCAGTTTCCATTTTTCGTTTTATAATTTCTGTTTCATTTACTTTGTTTTATATCAAATTAATCTCGTTTTTTTGCCCAAACTATTTGGTTATAATAAAACCACTTATTTTTTTTTATCACTCGAGTTCTTATATTATTTAAGTCGTACCAAAAAATTATACATGTTATTGCAAGAAAAGGGTTTAAATCTCTCTATGAATAAAGTCGAATGTGCAGTTGGTGGAAATGAAATGAATGTGACATTTTGCTTACCGTAGAATCTTCTTTCAATTCATACGTAATTGCAGTTTGTGATTGGAGACTGCAGACTTTATAGTTTATTTGCCAAAATTATCTTATTTTGCTTTAGGAGAATTGGTACAAATACGGGTTTTACGAGTAAATCATCCGCATGTCATTTTCGTAATTTTCATGGTCAGATTACCGAGTGCGCATTGAAATGACCAAAATACCCTAGGTCTTTTATTGATATTATTAATATATCTTTACTTTTTTTTAATAATCAACATGCCATCTGTTTCACTTTCATCTTACGACATCATTTGCACCCAAACACTCTGGTCGATAATGAAGATTTTTGCTGAGAATCGAGAATGAATATTTGGATTAGGGTTTCCAAAAGTACCCGAATGATCTATGGATAAGAAATCGAGTTCCAAAATATTCGGATTTAGAGTCACATAATTCCAAAAAATTCGGGTATTCCAAAATTCATACAGATCAAACCACGAAAGTTAAAAAAAGGATGTCCAAATCAAACATAAAATAATGAAAAAAAAGTCATTATATTGTAACTTGTTATTTAATATAGACAGAGAAAATATATATTAAACACATACACACACACACATATATATATATAATGTATAGTCCATAGTTTAGATAGATCATGTTGACGGTGCATGGGGCCCAACATCCCTATAACATGGGTCCCAAACGACATAACTCTAGGGAATAGCCTTGACAGCTTATTGTTTGAGCTCATACAATGAGAACCAAAATCTAGCTATGGGAATGTGGCAGTCTTTGCCTTTCTCCAACATTTCGAGACAGCAAGCGTCGGAAGATCTTTTGTTCTGTAACATCTCTTCGTAAATCACCCGACCACATTCCCATGACATCATGCTTCACGTCTCGCTTCGAATATCCTTTTATACAGCTTCCGATTCCGATTGCAGTCGTTCGCTTCCGGAGAATCGGGAAGTTCCAATCTGATGTTCGGATCCTCATCGTCTTCGTACGCGTGAGTTGGATGAGCAACCATGGTGGTCATATATGAACAATGCCATCAAGAACATCATCAGTGATTCAGTGTCTTCCCCGTATGTGCATATATAAGCGGTGATTAGAAGATGTTTTTTTTTTTATTAATTTTGATTTCGTTATTTTTTGTTACTTCATTATTTTGTCTTTTATTTTCGAATCTATAGAAACCTCCAAGGATGATTTTTCGTTAGGACACAAATCATTATGGCATTGAAAACAATTCAGTTTACTTATATAACCTCGTATTCTTCTTCATCTTCTTTAGTATATTCATTGTTAAGTTCGAGTTTGTTTATAGCCTTTACAAAATTTAAATGATGCGCATACCCATCTCTAGTTGTTAGACCGAATTTCGATTCAAATATATGGTTAGATATTATTATCATGTTCAATTTGATTTTCAATATCCAAAGTAGAAATATATATATATCAAACCTCTAATTGTTATTATTCTATGAGGTCTAGGGCTTTCTTAGCATCCATGTAACAAAATGTTTTAGAGAACTTTGGTAACGTGTGACCGAAGGGCTTGACAAATTTCAGACCGATCAAACCGCGAATAATCGTAAAAAGGATCGATGTCTGAAACCGATATAAACACAGCCGAAACATCAATAATACCTTGTTATAAATAACATATAGATAGAGAGATGGATAAAATATCATGTCATATATATAATTCATATATATATATATATATATATATATATATATATATATAT